CCCAAGGTCATGGCCCAAGGTCAAGAAGTTAAAATGGAGGACCGGAACAAGAGGGCTGACAGGAATACTTTTGGGCATGCTCAACTTTCATTGTATGTTGTTTGTTTTTATTCTTTGGGGGGGGGGCTGCCACCCAGGTCCCAAATAAATAAACACACATGGATGCTTTATTTTTCTGAAATTATCCCATCTACCTTTTGTCTCTGGGCTTTTTCCTTTTCTTACTTCTGCATATCTTACTTTCATTCTTACTCCGTGGCCAGTTGGGTGGCTGGGTGGCTGGGTGGCTGGGTGGCTGGGTGCCTGGGTGCCTGGGTAGCTGCCCCCTAGCATCCTCCTCCCCTTGTTCTCTTGCTCTTTCTTCTTTTCCTCCAAGATTTCTCATATTTATCCTCTCTGCCTGCCAGCCCTGCCTATTCTTTCTCCTGCCTTACTATTGGCCATTCAGCTCTTTATTAGACCATCAGGAGTTTTAGACAGGCAAAGTAACACAGCTTCACAGAGTTAAACAAACACAACATAAAAGAATGCAACACATCTTTGCATCATTAAACAAATGTCCCATAGCACAAACAAATGTAACACATCTTAAAATAATATTCTACAATTGTACATGTTAACTGAAAAAAGAAAAGGCCACTTAGAAGGTATGCTAATATAGCTCCCCCCACACACACACACACCCTACTTAACAGCTACAGGGTCATCAAGCTGTTCTTTTGCTTATCCATTTAAAATCAAGTTATGTCTTAAGTGTCCATTTCTTGGATAATCTTTCATGCTTTTTAAGAATATATTTGAGGGGCTCACAGGGCATCTCAGCAGTTAAGAGGACTTGCTCTTTTTGCAGAGGACCTGGGTTTGATTCCCAGCACCTAGGTGAGGTGGCTCAGAACTGCCTGAAATTGCAGTTCCAGGGTCTTTATGTCCTCTTCTGGCCTCCATAGGCATCTGCATGCATGTGTTGCATGTACAGTAAGGCATACATATAAATTTTCAAAATAATAAATTATAAAAAAATGTGAAAAATACTCACCCCTGTAAGACCTACTCCATGAATGGAACCCACGCCTGACATTACTCAGGTCACCAAGACTCTGAGACTAGGGATAAACCATAGACCAAAGAGAAAACCAAATACCATTGTTTTGCTAAAAGAACATAACTATAAGATGACACCTAATGACATTCTGCCATACATACAGATCAGTAACCATCATCATAGAAGCCTCCTCCTACAGTAAGTGGGAACAAATATAGGGACCCTCACCGGACAATGTGCAAAAAGTGAGAGACCTTGGAAGACTCAGTCTTAAATAGGATGTCTTCATAAGATCCATACCCTCAGGGATCAGGGAAGTATATTCAAGAGGGCATGGAAAGACTGTAAGAGGCAGAAGACATGGATAATACCGAGGAAACGGGTGTCTTCCAGACACAGTAGGGTTGGTGCCCATTGGACCTCACAGAGAACCTGGCAACGTGCACAGGGTCTGCACAGGTCCCAACGAGACGGGTTCCCAGTGCTGAGATGGGGAAGAGAACATGGGCTCCTGTCCCAACCACAGCTATCTCCAGCTGACCACCACTCACAAAGGAAGAGTAGGCTCTCTCCAAGGAATTCTCACTGGGTATACAAAACACATGTAAGGACAGGCCCCATCCTCAGCAGTACATGGCCAACACATAACAAACTCAATGGTATTTGGGGATATTTTTCTTGTTTCATATTGCTTTGTTTGGACATTTTTTTAACCTTACTGGTCCTTTGCTTGTATGTTCTGGTTTCCAATTTTGTGGGGTTTTTTTATGGTGTGTGTGTGTGTGTGTGTGTGTGTGTGTGTGTGTGTGTGTGTATGTTTGTACACATTTCTCATGCTCTCTGTTTCTTTTTTCCTTTTTGTTAGTTTGTCTTATTTTATTCTTACTGGTTGGTCTTTTTTATTTGCCTGTTAATTTTCTTGGGAGACCGAAAAAAATATATGGAGCTGGATGGGTCGGGGTGGGGGGGGGAGGATTGGGGTAGGGATAGGGGAATGGAAACTGAGATCAGAATATACTGTATGAAAAGAACTTTATAATAAAAAATAGAAATATTAGTTGTTATGCTATACTTTCCCCACAAAGTACCACTAGTGCCTTTCTAGGTTGATGAGATTATGTATGTTTATGAACATATGTGTGAATGTGGGTTTATATGTACATATAAATATATGTATATTTATATATTTAAATATATATATATAAATATATTTGCATGCATGTAATGCTGATGTCATAATGACATCCCATATAAACCTATAAGTGCTAATGATCATTAAATTTTCAGGCATTTTGTGAGTCAATGGTTTAAAATTGACATTACAATTAAATCATACTTAGAAAATAATACTGAATGATGATGCCATTCATCACTCCTAATTTTAAAAAAGTACTCTGGGCCGGGCGGTGGTGGCGCACGCCTTTAATCCCAGCACTCGGGAGGCAGAGCCAGGCGGATCTCTGTGAGTTCGAGGCCAGCCTGGGCTACCAAGT